CACACATTATTACTCCTCATTCGGCTGTCTATGGCTCGTTGAAACTTGTTTAATGCCATATAGAATGAGTTCTAACTTGTGTGTGTGTGTGTCTGCTCTTTTTTTTTTGGTTCCTTTTGAAGATGTGCGCTCTTCCTGTCGCATATTTCCTCTCGTGTGATTATTTACATACGGTCGCATAAAATACATTCATTCGTTCATTCATTTGGAGGAGACCATATAAATTATCATCAAACATACTAATCTAAATAAATTTATTGTAAATGAGATACTTTCATATTTTGTTGTTGTTGTTGTCGTTGTCTTTTTTTTTTGCATTTTTCGGAGCGTGTAATTTTTTTGTTGTGTTCCTCCTTGTTTGATGCTTTAAATTGTATTTTCTTTTGAGGAGATGTACGGAAAAGTGGTGGAAGGCATATTTTTCTTTGTTTGTGTTTTTTGCTAAAATATTAGGTTACGTGTTTTTTGGGAACATGGGAATTATACACTCAGAAATAAAAAAGGTATTTATGATTTTTCTCAAGATTCACAGTGGCTACTAAAGGACACTACCTATCAATACCTGTCAATGGCTATGAAAGTGAATTTTTTAAAAATATTTTTTAATTTCCATCAGTGCCGATAAATTTGAGTTTTTAAAAATATTTTTCAGCTGCTGTCAGTGGCTTCAAGTGGAATTTTAGTTATTTATATGACATAAGTGCATCAAACGTGAATATTTCAGAATACACCTATCAGACCAATTATCAAGGATTAAAAATTGTTTTTTTTTAGTGAAAACAGTTTTGTAGTTATTTTTAAATATCTAAAAGGCATTGAAAATTTTTTTTTAAAAGTTCACGATTATGGGTTAAATGTATTGAAATATGTTTTTAAAAATTCACGAAAATTTTTATAAAAGTATGAAGAACATTTAAAAGATCCAGGGAAAATGGTCTAAAAGGTATTGACAAATAATTTTAAAAAATCCACAATTATTGTTTTAAAAAGTATTAAAAAATATTTTTCATTTAAAATTGACGATAATTAGCCGAAAAGGCATGAGAAAATATTTTTAAAATGCACGATTTTGGTCTAAAGTATCGAACAACTTTTTAAAAGATCCAGTAAAATTATTCTAAAAGGTATTAAAAATATTTAAAAAAATCACTATTTTTGGTGTAAGTGGTATTGAATAATATTCTGAAAAAAAAATTCCACGATTATTAGTTTAAAAGGTATTGGACAATACACGTATATTGTTTTAACAAGTATTGAAATCTATTTTTAAAGATCGAGTATAATTAGTATAATTGGTACTAAAAAATATTTTTTAAAAAATCTACTTCTATTCGATGAACAATTTGTAATATTTCATGATTAAAGGAAAAAATATTTTAAAAATCATTATTGGTTTAAAATATATTTTTAAACATAAAAAAGCTGTAAGTACGGCTGGTTGAACTTTGAATTCCCTCCCCCTTTGGTACAAATTTGCAATTTTCAAAAAAAATAAATCCATTAAAAATTCTGTTAAAATCTTAAAATACCGAATGTAGCCGTATATATTGGGTCTATACGACGTCGTGAACCTACATAGGCAACTTGTGTCATAAGCTATTAAAATATTCAAATGCGAAACTTGAAAAAAAAAATCTGTTCATGCTGTAGCTAAAATCATCAAAATACCGAATATAGGAGGTACCATGGGGTTATAAAACGTGGACCTGCACAGACAATCTACTGTCATAGGCTGTAGCGCCCATTGCGAACATCAAATACCAAACTTGAAGCAATTCCGGTGAATAATGTCACTAAAACCATCAAAATACCAATATCATATGTACCGTTAAATGGGGGCTATACGAAGACTAGACGTCTGTATAGTTGTATTATCCGTTACGAACTTCAAATACCAATTTGAAACAATTCCGGTAAATAATGTCGCTAAAATCATCAAAATACCGAATATCGGAGTACTATTATTGAGGGCTATACGAAGACGTAGACATGCGCAGACAATCTCCTGTCATAGGCTGTAGCACCCATTACGAACATCAAATACCAAATTTGAAAGAATTCTGATGAATATTGTCGCTAAAATCGTCAAAATACCGAATATCGGGAGGTACCGTTATATGGGGGCTATACCAAAACGTGGACCTAGTTAGCGCATTTTCAATACCAAAAGTCCTGCAGACATAATATACATTAGAGTAAAATTTTATCAATCTACTTCAATTCGTTTGGAAGCTACATTGATTTACACAGAAGGACGGACAGATAGACAACAGACGGCCGGACATCGCTAATCGACATAGAAATTTATGCTAATCAAGAATATACTTTGTGAGGTCTAAAATGTATATTCGAGGTGCTACAAACGGAATGACAAACTTAATATACCCTCCATACTATGGTGGAGGGTATAAAAAACTGCAACAAAGTCAGACGCCATATTTTTTTCTTTTTTTTTTTTTTTAATTTAATGAATAAAAGCAAAAATGTCGGAAATAGCATCAAATTTAAGAATATGTTCAGATTTGTTCGAATTGGCAACCTTTGGCACGAATTCTGGCCTTCAAACGGCCAATGAACAAATCACACGCTGCCCCGAATGTTGCTCTGTGGTATTTTGGCCCATTCTCGGCGAAGCGCTTGCTTGAGGTGATCGTCACTTTGGTATTTTTTAGTGCCAACCTGCTTTCCAAAATACTCCAGACACAAAGACCAACGATTGGTACCCGAGATTTTGGTGGCCATTGTGTGCTGGAAATGAAGCGAGGAACCTCATTTTGTAACCATTCTTGGGACGGTGCTGAGTCCTGTTGGAATGTCCAAGGTCTGCGGCCAAAATGTTTGCGTACCCAAGGCTTTAAAACACCCACCAGAATATTTTCACTATAATATTCGGTATTATATCTGATGCCACGGTCGATTAATACGAGCGGAGAGCGACCATCGGCTGTTATGGCGCCCCACACCATCATCATCATGGTCGGCGCTTGAGTTCTGGTAACCAACCGAAGGTGCACATTTTCAGCAGACACGATCATTCAGTTCGTTTACAAACTGCTGGACAACGAATATTTTCTCATCGAGAAAAACCAAATTCGCAGTTTACCCCTTTCGGCCAAGCGAAGCAACCCATTAGCTTTTTTGAGCCTATTTTCTTTCTGTTGCGGTGTAAGTTCTTGCACTTTTGGAATTTCAATGGCTATACCCCGAGTTCATTCTTCAATATTTGCCGAATGGAATATTGTGATATGTTCAGCTCACGAGCCATTTTTCGGTCACTGCGACGTGTGTTTCGATCAAGTCGCTTCTTTACTTTTCGAACCATTTCGGCTGATGTTGCTGTTTTGTTCCATCCACTATCTTGACGCCGGGCTGCAACGGTAAAAAGCGCGATGGTATGAGACACAAAATATTTAATCACATTTTAATACTGGAGTGATCTACGATAGCCACTTGGGGTTTTTTCCAGCCAATTTAAAGAAATCACACTATCACGCTTGAATTCCTTCACGAATAACTTTTTTTCTGGAAATTCTCACCAAATTGTTTTGTACACTTGTAAACAGTATATGAGCTGTCACTAGAATAATTTTAACAGCTGTCGGATGAGTGGCTTAGAAATGACAGAAGTCTGAAGTTGTTGCAGTTTTTGCATCTCGCCCTGTATTTAATAGCGATTTTTATGATATTTGAGTTTTGAAGAATATATATTTTTGTAAAAAAAAAATATAATCGTCAAAATTTAAACAATTTTCAAATTCTATAATCCTTTGGGTTTTTAGATCTTTGACCTAATAATGGAAGGGGTTGGCGTATGAGTAAACATGCACAGCGAGCAATAACATTACTTATACGCCCCTGCATCTTTTTCTTACGAAAAGAGGGCCATTGCATAATACAGGCAACATATGACAGAGTTTTCAATAATTTTTCCCTGTGTATTAACATTTCCCCCTGAATGATTGGTGGCTGGCATGAATGGTTTAATCATGATTCAATTTTGGCCGTGTTATAAGTGAACAAAAGTGTCTAAGCAGTTTGTGTTTGTGCGTGTGAGTATTGTAACAATGAACTCGACTTGCTCTCTAGATTAACAAATTTGTACATTTTTTCCTCATTTTCTGCCGTGGGACAAGAAGTAACT